ATTCCGTTCAGTCGAGCGTTCTTCCCGGACTCGTAGAGGAAGGTCGACGCTGGACGTCTGGATGCTGCAGCACACATGTGGCAGACAGGAAGCGCTTGGGTCAGGAGGGGGGGGGGGCGGAATGATGATGGCCCCCTTTATCCCCGGCAATCACTAGACAAGACTCCAGAGGAAGTCAGAAATCACCGCTGCATGTGATCCATACTACCCGTCTGTAGGATGAGTGCTTTAAAAAACTATTCCAAATTCAGTGTTTCTGTGGAAACAGTGAGTCCACAGCTGGTTAAAGCTTCTCATTCAAAGGATATAATGGTCTGTCTGTGCACCGGCCATTAGGAATAAATCATGTGGATCATCTCTTCGGTTAGGGGCATTATGCTGCGCGCTGACAAAGTGAGGGCTTCTGCAGGGAATAATGCACCGAGAGACAGATAACGCACCGCAAGAGGAAACAACAACAGCATATTAAGTACCGTTTTGGTTTCTGCAAAGTAAAGAGAAGGCAGCGAGGTGTTTAGCCCTGAATGCACCATTCATCCACGGCTGAAGGGTACTTTATTGGAACACCATTAGTTGAATATGCCGTGATTATGAAAAGAGAGCTCCAGCCAAAAGTCTGATGGTTCTCTTGGAGGAGAAAAATACATTTTGAACCAGGGAAGAATGATCTTCTTGGCGCATTTCCCTTAAAGTCGTAGAAATAAAAATCTGATCACGTTCTGCTTCCACGCAACAAAAGGAGCGAATCGCCTCGAGGAGAGCTGGCCTGAGATGTCGAGCATTTAAGCCTTTTCTCATTGAAAGTCACTGATTGCAGGTCAGTTAGACGATGTGTCCTCTCATCCCTTTGGCCTACACGACGCCGCGGAAGGCCGAACGACGGAGCTCCTCCTTTCCCCCCGACGGCCATCGCGCTCAATGCGAGCCGGGTTGGGCACCACATTTACGTCATTTTGGTGACTTACGACGAGTGCGTTCAACCAGGAGGGCTCGTGTTGGCCGATGTGCGAAGGGGAGGGATCACTCCACTGTCATGACATGATACACGGTGGATCTAATTCCATCCCGTATGGTAAATGGTGTCCTGGGTGTCTTAACTCTCTCCAAATCGATTCCAAAAAGAGTCCACGCATATGAGAACACAATGGAGGGGCTCTTCTGAAGGATCAGGCACGGCCGGCCTCGATCACGCCTCGCACCTGCTGTGTGGACAACTGGAGGCAAACGCGCGGCGTGTTTTTTTGCGCTCGCGGCACGAGGCGCGGCCCCCTCGGCTCGATTTAACCCGCCGCCGAATGCCGCCTGTGACGCCAGGCGGACTTTGTGTGGCCGCATACCTCCACGGGAGAAGGTATGGAAAGAATCCGCGGCCCCTGTAAGTCTCGGAGATTACTCGGCTCCTCTCTCGGCTCCGGCCTCGGCGAGGCTTCACATCCATCAGCGGCAGGTCACCGCCGTTCGAGGGGGGCTTTTGTCTTTTTTGAAAAAGCGGTGAATTTCCACACCGCCGCGGCGCTGTCATCGGTCCCTCGACAGAGCACGGGCCACGTGTGCGTGACCGCGGAGCAGCTAGTGTGTGCTCGTGAAGGAGAGAGCGGATTACATGTAGGAATAGCAATGGATCAACCGAAACACAACATTGACTTGATTTTTTTTAATTGCCTCTCGGCTGCGATGAATGTCCGATGCAGCTGTCTGCACGAACAGCTGCTTGCCTGAAAAGACAGAGCAAACTGTGGGGGAGTGAGGAGGAGAGAACAATGTGGGATGAATCACATTCAGCCTGTGAGGTATTTTGCAATTTCAAGACTTTAAAAAAAAAAAAAGAAATGCACGCAGGATTAAGAATCCCTTTTATTGGAAATTCACATCTGTGCCAAGGCGCATTTCCCAGGGAGTCTGCAGAGATGCATTTTCTAGGCTGTCTGGGCAAGACAGAAACCGTATGGCGTGTTACTGCTCGGAGTAAATAAAACACAACGTGGAGCTCTTGCGTTTACAAGTTGCAATTTACAACCGCGGAAGAACCAGGGGAGATCCGAAAGGTTTGATGGAGACGTCTGTGTGGATTCCTGCAG